TAATCACATAAATAAGCTATAAATAATTTTTTGTATTCACAATAATTTGGAGGATAACTATACTGAGCTATAGAAAGCTTAAGCCATGAACACTTGTACAGAATCATTCTTTGTGTTTTTCCAAGCTCTGCCACATGGCTTCTCTATCTTTTAAACTTTTTCAAAAATGCCTCATGTTTTTGACAAAATTTGTCATAAGTATCATGACGGGATAAAACTTTCTAAAAACTGCTGCGTATTGCTGATTTTATACTGTCCTGTTTTATTAATGTATTTTGAAGGAATGAGAAATGGTAGATATGGACATGAGTGAGTGACCTGTGAATCAAAAACAAGCAAAATCAGGAGGCCTCCCATGCATATGGAAATTCTAATCTTTTGCTCTGACATCATGCATATGTGAGAGACATACACAAAGTTACACATCCAGAGAGGGTGTACTATTTTGCTCAAACTAGTTAATGAATGAAGCATTGGAATGCATAGAATTTCATGCTTCAGGATCTAAAACATGCGAGAGATTAATTTCTGATGAAGGGTCTAGGCCCGAAACATCAGCCTCTCTGCTCCTATGATGCTGCTTGGCCTGCTGTGTTCATCCAGCCCTGCATCTTGTTGTCTCGGATTCTCCAGCATCTGCAGTTCCTACTATCTCGAGAGATTAATTAGATCATCTTCAAATGATCGGTTCATATTCAAATGAAGGGAAAGAAAACTTGTGACAACTCATGTAAGTTGACTTAAAGTTTAGAATGCTTTCAATGTTTTTGGTAACTAAAACTGGTGCAATGGCTACCAAGATTATACAGCTCTTTCAAATATTGCCACTGAATTGTTCTCTCTAATCAGTCACTATATAGTTCTTACAAATTCATTTTCTCTGTTACTTGGGCATCAATCAGCTAAACTGAAGCATTCAATAGCAGTCAGGCAAGAAGGTCAATACTGGAAGAACATAGCCAAGCAGCAGAGGAGGAGAAAGGGCACGAATGAGAGATCACAAAATAGGGACTGAGAAGTCTAAAGTCATGGATGTGGGGATGGGTCTCCATTACAAATTAACAAAATCATGAGTGGGATGGGAAAACACAAAGTAGCTTGCAGATAATGCACAGAAGATGCAACGATACAAGTTAAAGGCTAGGACCTAATTCAGAGGAGGGCTCGGGGACAGAAAGAGACAGCAGATCACAAAAGTTATCAATCAGGTGGTAGGAGGAATGCTGCTTGTTGGGGGAAGGAGAGCACAGGCTGTGGGGGAGTGACAGCATGGGGTCTGGCGGAAACTGGGATTCAGTGCACATTGTAGATTTTGAAAGAAAGGAGGAGATTGTATGGTTGGGGTTTCAGAATTAGCTGAAGTGGAATAGCAGGTTTGCTTTGCATGTCAGCAAATAGCATTCTTGATCCTGGTCCACAGGCAGTGCTGAAAAGGCACATGCTTGATGAATCAAGTCATTCTCATCTCCCTTTGGTTGCTGGGATTCATGGGCCATGGCGAATTTCTTCAATCATTAAATCTAAAAATCTAAGTGATTTCAGTGTTTCGTAGAAACATAACACACTTCATTCCATAAAATGCCAGTCATATTTACCTGATTATCGTACTTCAGAGACTGAGTGCCTACAAGAAATCTGATTGCATCCGTTTCTGCAGTTTGCGGTGTTAAAGCACGTGCCTGAAAAATAAACAAATATATATCTGTAATCTTGTGTCTTGTCCTTGCACCTATATCATGGGTTTGCTTTCTGTCAACTATAAATTTAGGAATCATATTTTCCGCAACCCAAAATATCGAAACATTGTCAACTCTGCAAGGCACATATTATCATAAAACAACTGTTCAAAGCTGGATATAAAAAATTACAATGTTAGGGAATGAACCTGGTATGTTTACTATATATGCTGCACTCGGGGACAGAGCATAAAATATATACAAGTGAAGGATCTCAACATGCAGAATTCTTCTGAGAGTGTTCTATTTGATATTATTACATATGATTTTACATTCAGGAGAAATGTTTAACCATGAGCAAAATTGATTACTTTACCACAATCACCCCAGCAGAAGTTAGTTCTTGAACACAAATGTCAGACAGAACTATCCTGGCAAAGATGAATACTAGCAGAAGCAATAACTGCTGATAGTGATGATGGACATTGCAAGAGGTGCACACAGTTTTATTTATTTGATGCTGAGCCTATTTAAAAACAAAATATTTGCATTTATTATATTGTCTTTCTTGTTTCAGGAAAGACCCAAGTACTTTACATAGCTTCTCAGTTACTTTTGGAGCATTGGCAGTTATGGCATCAACAAATACAGCGGCCATTTTGTACTCTGTAAGGTCTCACAATCAGCAATGAGAGTAACAATCAGTTTATATTTTCTGGTCATGATGGTTGAAGGATAAATATTGATAAGAACACCAGGAAGACTTGCTTGGCACCAGTATCAAATAATTTGGCTGACTTGATTTTGAGCTTTCATCCACCTCAAGCGAACATTTCACCTACAAATATCAAGTAAAAAAATATAAATCTATTTTCAATAGAACCAGCACTCTTTCTATGCATCTTTTCTACATCTATCAATCAATTTACTACCATCAGGAGACATCTGACTATTACTCCTGATTCTCTTTTACTGTTTACTCACTAATCTCCATTAATAGCAATGTCATATTTAAATAGTACCTTTAAAATAATAAAATGTTCCAAAGTACTCCACAGCGGTGTTATAGAACAAAACATGACACCAAAACACATAAGGAAATGTTAGGCCAAATGACAAACGGCTTGGTCAATAATCAAGACCCATCTTCCTGCGACTCTGTGTTTGGACTTTCCAAGTAAGGTTTCCATACTTCTACAGTTCTAAGAGGCCTCTCATCAAAATCACAAATTCCAGCCGATGTGACTGCGATAGTCATGAACTATCTCCCATTATCCATTCTTAATAATAAAATTAATTGACAAGGTCAATGTTTATTGCCCATACCTAACTGCGCTTAAGATGGTGGTGGCGATCCACCTTCTTGAACCGCCATAATCCATACAGACACTCTCACAATTCTGTTAGAATTTTTATTTTAAGTTTTTTCAGGTTGGTTTGAAATAACTGAACTGTTTGATTTCAGAGGCTAGCTAAGAGTCAAACACACATAGGTCACATTGGTTAAGGATGACAGATTTTCTTTACTGAAGGATATCTGAACCAGATTGCTTTTTATGATAATCCTGTTATTTCACTCTTACCATTACTAATAATATATTTCAAATTTATTTCATTGAATTTAAATTTCCTAACTGCGATGTTGGGATTTGAATTTTTGGATCTCTAGTCTTAGATTATTATTCCAGGAACATAAACACGAAACTATTGTTCCTGATATTATGCTACCATTTTAAATCTGAATCAATTGACCATGCCATGCTTCTTCTCCATCATCTGTAAGAGTGTGACCACTAGCCCGTCAATCCGTTTCCATCTATCCAGGTTCAAGAGAATCACATGCAAAAGCTTGCTGCTCCCTCACTGTTGTCTAATGTCCTCCAAAATTCTATCCTCAGCCCCTTCCTTTTTTTCACAATCTTGCTTCCCTTCAGCAACTTCATCTACCACCACCTTGACAATATTTATTAACCCTGCCTCCGCCACATGAAGCAGATTTCCAAAGTCGTACATCCCTCAGAGAAAAGTGTTTCTCCTCATCACTGTCCTAAAAGTATGATCCCCAATTTTAAAACAGTGCCCTCTACTTCTGGTTTGACCCACAGAGAAAACATAATTTCCATGTCTACCTCGTCAAGACCATACTTGGTCTTAAGTAATTCGATCAAGTCATCCCCCACTCTCTTAAACACCAATACAAGCTCAACTTGACCAAATTATCCCTGAGACAGTACACACGTTACAGGTATCAATTGAGTAAACCTTCTCTGAATGTGTTTATAATCTTCTTTAAATAAGAAGCCCCATACAGCACACAATATAAGAGATGCCCTGTAAAAGTGAAACATAACATCCTTACATTTACAAGTAGACAGTGTGGTTAAGACGGCATTTAGCACCCTTACCTTCATTGCTCAGAATTCTGAGTATATGAGTAGGGACGTCATGTTGAGATCGTACAGGTCATTGGTGAGACCTCTTCTGGAGTACTATGTGCAATTCTGGTCACCCTGTTATAGGCAGGATATTGTTAAACTGGAGAGGGTTCGGCAAAGATTTACCAGGATGTTGCCAGGAATGGAGGATTTGAGAAATAAAAATAGACTGGAAAGACTGGGACGGTTTTTACTGGAGCAGAGGAGGTTGAGGGATGACCTTATTGAGGTTTATAAAATCATGAGGGGCATAGATAAGGTGAAAGACAAGGGTCTTTTCCCTAGGGTGGAAGGGTTCAAAACTAGGGAGCATATTTTTATCGTGAGAGGAGAAAGATTTAAAAAGGTCATGAGGAAGAACTCTTTTTACACAGACAGTGGTTTACGTGTGGAATGAACTGGTAGAGAAAGTGGCAGATGCAGGTAGAATCACAACGTTTAAAAGAAATTTGGATAAGTTTATGAATAGGAAAGGTTTGGAGGGATATGGGCCAAATGCAGACAGGTGGGGCTAGTTTAGTTCGGAAAAATGGTCAGCATGGACTGGTTGGACTAAAGGGTCTGTTTGCATGCTGTATGACTATGACTCTAGTAATAAAGAATAACAGTCCGTTAGCCTTCTTGATTGCGTGTTATACCTGCACACTAAATTTTTGTGACTCATGCACTGGAACACCAACTCTCTGCACCTCAGAATTCCATAGTCATTCACCATGAAGTAATACACTTTTTTGTTCTTGCTGCCAAATTGAACCACTTTATATTTCCACACACTATAGTTTATCTGCCTGATTTTTGCCTGCACACTCAAACTATCCATATCTGTTTGCAATCTCCTTACGTCTTCTTCACAACATACTCTCCTATTCATCTTGGCATCAGCTGTGAATTTAGCCTTCACTCCTCTCAGCTAAATCATTGATGCAAATTACAAAAGTTGAAGCCCCAGCACAGACCCCTGCAGGACATCGTTCATTATGTCTTGCCAATCAAAGACCCATTTATGCATACTCTCTGTATGCATGCATGTTTTCACCAACCAGCCAACCTTCTCTTATATTACCCATAAACCAAAAGCTTTTGTTTCCCACAATAACCTTTGAGTTAGCACTTGTCAAATACCTTCTGGAAATTTGGGTATGGTATGACTGCAGGCTCCCCTTTTATCCACAGTGCATGTCAATCCTTCAGGGAACTCAGGAAGCCATGCTGACTTGTCCTGATTACATTGGGTTTTTCTAAGCTTGCAGCTATTATCTCCTTAATAATTGATGCTAACAACTCCCCTACAATTGGCCTATAGTTTCTCATTTTCTACCACCCTCTCTCCCCGAATAGAGAGGTTATATTTTCTCCTTTCCAGTCTTATGGAACCTTTTCTGAATCAAGGGCATAGTATCACTCTTTTCCATTAAATGCCTCAGTTTATCTGCTGTAATAACACTTAATACTGTTTTTGTTGCTGTTATACTTCAATGTTTTCCTAAACTTTCTTGGCCAGTCTTCTATCTTCCACTTTCAATAAATTTGAACTCATCCAAAATCTGTTGGCTGTACGTTAAAACTTACCATATCTAGTCATATAGGACTTCTGTGCTTGCTGCCCTATACTGGCTTCCAGTCCAGCAAGAATGATATTGAAATATTCAATTTTCAAAATTCTTCCTAACCTCACCATCCCTTTCTCCAAAACTTCATCCACTCTAATTAAATCCCCTCCCTACCCAGAGATATGTGCACTTCCAAGTCTGGTGTTTTGCACATTCCTGATTATAACTGCTTCACCAGTTGCCCTAAACTCTGAAATTCCTACCTTAACCCACTGCACCACTCCCCTTCCTCCATTAAGATTTTTCTGAAATCTCTCTTTAAATTTGATTTTTGGCCACTTGACCTAATATGTGGTTGTATGTGGACTAGTGCTAAAATCTTGATCAATAATGCTCATATGAAATGCCATGGAATGTTGTAAGTGCTATGTAATTGTAAGTTGAAGTTTATTCACAGTAACAATCATACCTTTATTTAAAAGCTAAAAGTGACTCAACAGCAACAGAAAACATTTTGTCATATATATCAATTTTTATCCTTTACACTTAGTTATTGAAATGTGACTGGCAGGAAATTGGGATATGGGAGATTACCAATGTTGTGGTATGGAGAGATGGATGGGTGGATGGATGATATTTGAAACAAGTGGGAATTTTTGTGATGGACATCTTGCATATGGAACACTTTAAATTACATTTATGCACATTCCCCAGAGACTTGCTAGTCAGAACACAAAATTAGAAAGCTACCAATATTATGCATCTTCATTTAGGAAAATAATCCAGTATATTATCAGAAAGTAGAGAGTTAATGGTCTCCGTGCTGCCAAGGCAACTGATGCTTTCTCTAAAATACCAGAAATATTTCTAGTGTGTGTATTATTTTCTCCCATAAAAAAATGTCAATTACCTACAAGAATATCAAACAGGCAACTATTTCAAAAACAGAATAATTTTCAAAAAGCGACTTTGGCTGTTAAATTATGAAGAGAGACTATACCAATTAGGCTGGCTTTCTCTAGAATTTTGAGATTAAGAGGTGAACTGATCAAAATCTTCAAGATGTTAACAGTGTAGACAAAGGTAAACTTTTTTCCACTGGCTGGGGATTCTAGAACTAGGGACACAGTTTAAAAATTAGGCACATGACATTCAGGATAGTTGTTAGGAAGCACTTCTATACACAAAGGGTGGCAGAGGTTTGGAACTTTCTTCCACACATGGCAGTTGATACTAAATCAGTTGTAAGGTTGAAATCTGAGATTGATAACTTTTTGTTAAGCAACGGTACTAAGGGAAATGGACCAAAAGCAGGTTTATAGAGTTAGGCCACAGATCAGCCATGAGCTCAATGAATGGTGGAACAGACTTGATGGGCTGAATAGCTTACTCCTGTTTCCTACATAATTGGACATATATTTGAAAAGGAAACTTTGAATGACTGCAGAACAGGAACATGGGACTAATTAAATAGTTCTTTCAAAGAGATGGCATGGATGCCTTCTGAGCTATATGATTCTATCAAACAGTAAAAATATAGTGGATGAAAAGTACTCTCCTTTAGTGAGACAGAAAGCTTCTTTCTTAGAACCTTGCTTTAATTGTAAGATTCTCTTAGAAGTTCGAAAGAAAGGCTGGATTAAAATATTATACTGCACAGAAATTCGTAGAAA